AAAAGTAAAAATCTTTTAGTTATATATTTATAATATATGTATGTACAGTTGGTTATGTACTAAAAGGCAGAAAATAAATTTGGACATCGGTCTGAATGTTAAGAAAATCAAGTCTCTAATTAAAATAAAACTTCAAAAGTCTACCATACTCATTGAAACTTTTAGAATAAAGATAAAAAGTCAAAAACCTATACTTTTTCCGATAGGTACAATAAAGTACATAGTAAACAAACTACACATTGAATTAATTATATTCATGGGTAACGCCTTCCCACTCGGTAACAACAAAAGTTACGAATTAACAATTTTTATAATAGATAAACACTTTACGAAAACCACATATATATTTTTCGAGTAATTTCACTAAATATATTAGGGCTGTCCGAATTGGCATAAAAATACAATTGATTTCCATTCCTGATAAATTAAATTTTGTAGAAACACCGCTTAATTGTGTAAGTATCTGTTTTTTCAATGAAACACGTAATTCAAAAGAAAGATTAGTGAAAATGTAATACATTAGTTCAAAGTTACCTATAAAAAATTAGCCGCAATTACATGCAATTAAATTTATTTTAATCAATTTATTTAATTTTATTTTTTATTTACGCAGAATTCATTTAAATCTTTAAATTTTACGACTAAAATTATGTGTATAAATTATAATTGCTACGAAAATGAAGTTTAAATGTACTATTTATTATCGTAGAACGCAAAATTGAAACATAAAGAAAACTTTTGATTTCTTCAAAGAACTATAATAATAATTACATTGGGGAAAACGTTAGAAATGATCCTTTTAATTTTTGGAAACATAACACAGATATAAAACGGAAAACATGTAAGTAATAAATGAGAAAAAACTCACCGTTCTGAAAGCAATTGGGGCGGTTGGTATTACAATTTTTTTCTCTCTCAGCATGACTGTTCTTTCCAATGAAACTCCTTCGGTAATATCTGTAATAAAATCAAATATTAAATTCAAAGCTTATAAATGTAATAGACTTTCTCATAAATTTCAGATATTACGTAAGGCGGTATTTTTTAAGTGTTTGATTAATTATATTACCTAAAGAGTATTAAGACTAAGTTCCGTACAAATATTGGCACCGCTTTGCACCCCCTTAGGGATTGAATTTCCAAGTAACTTTTCTTATTCGTTATATACATTGTTAAAAGAAACCGCTGTGTAAAATTTCTGCTATCTATATCCAAGGGATTAACTTATGATGACTCCATGACTAAGTAAGTCAAATTTTTTCTTTTTAAATGTGTACGTATGTATGTATGTATGTATATTAGAAGAAATGGAGCAACAGTACAACATGGAATATTTTGCAGAATTTAATGCTACCAACAAATCTCATTTCAAATTATTCTACTCTTTGTGGCTTTTTTCTATTTTGAGATGTTTTGGAAAATCTGAACTTTGCCTATTTCTATTTTCATCAATATAACTTAATTAGTAAAAAGAAAACACCAAGTTTTTTTCCACATCTATCTGTCCATCTATAATTACCGCAGGTTTTCCACATACGTTCGGCTGAATTCGGATCATGCTAATTTAAAAATAAAATGATATGATTAATAACTATCATATATTTTTGAATTGACAATTCAAAACTCGGGCGCTTTGCGACTGTTCCTAAGCTCCTGAGGTATAATCTGAGACGAAAGTAAAACATAAAAATGCTTATGAAAAAGTAAGCTTGAAAAGTCAATTTTTCAAATCATCAAAAAATTCCGTTGAGTTTATCGTGAATATTTATTACTAATAATAGTGCAAAATGGGTATATGAAAGGCTACGAGTTAAATGTTCTTTTTTAAAAACAAAATTATTTTAATATTAACTCAGTTACAAGTCTTTTTATTGCTGTTTTCAATGAAAAGGTTTTATCTATTGATTAGTATAAAAGGTCATAGGAATCGGCACCAGAGGAATAAATAGATTATTTTTTGAGGGTATATTGGTACTAATGAGATACCTTAATCCTGAAAATGTTAGATCTCTATCTATTTTGGTTTTTGAATAAATCCAGAAAACAAGGAAAAATCAGAAAATATATTTTTCTTCAAAAACGGCTTAACCGATTTGAATAAACTTTATAGACGTTATGGAGGTATATAAGGGCTGTACTCGGAAAAAATAATAGCTCATAATCTTTGCAGAAAATTAATGAAAAAACCCATCAATATATCGTATGTACATTAGGAAAAGTAAACATCAAAGATTCTACCTTTTCCCTGTTGTATCCCAGATTGTAAATGTGGTGGATATCCTTATATATCCTTTAAAGCAATGTAAGAGAAGTTCATGACCAACGTAAGTAATCCTTAAAGGGTAAAAAGGGACTCCTGACCCTTGGTAAGACACTCTAACTTGGCAACATTAAATACATACGAATATCTTGCTATCAACGCAAACAATTTATATTATTTTCCACTATAATTGAATAAAATCGCAACCGACCGCTATTTACTACTACATCGAGCAAACCTCGATGGAAACTAAGCCCGAGTTCGGAAATTTTAAACCGAATACGAAGCGATGACAATTCATTGGTTCACGAAGCCTGATTAAATATTATAATAGTAAGCCGAATAAAACCGAAATAATAAACATAATGTAAAATTAGTTTTGCTTTTCTATTTATTAACTTTTTTTCTTATTGTACCTACCGTTTCATTCCTGAGCTTTGTTAAAATTTTGACCATGTGATAGCATTTGATAAGATACATGAGTAGGGAGTTAAATAATTATTTATTACTAGAGTTATAAACTTCACTAATAAAGTTCGAAATTTTCAAAATAAAAAAAACAATGTGTATTTCCGCTTAGTAAATTACCTGTAGTAAAATATGCAAGTATTTCAAATAAATTACATATCTCCAGCCCTACAGGACTCTTAATAAATATGTAAAATAAAAAAACCTGAAAGATAGGCACAAAATAAATTCCTGAATCATTAAAAGAAAAAAATATTGTATTACGTGATTGACCGCATCGGTAGACAATAATTGTCCGTATAATACTATTACCTATTTATTTTTACTCGCAAAACAACAAAAACATGGTCACGATGAAAGAAAATAGTCTAAAACAAACAGATGTGAGTTTCTTATCATGGTCAGATGATTCAGCCTCTTGGGGTCTTTTTGGGTTAAAATCAAGCCAATTCCTTCTAGCTTTGTGTTTTTTGAGACACTATAGTTTAATTATTTGAAGTTATTTTTAAAAGTGGTTTAAACGATTGAAAAGCGCACATTTCGATGCATTAATGCAATTGCAAAGTTTAAAATTAGACTTTTCGAAAATGGCCCTGATAATGATACAATTTTCCGAATTTCTTATAAACAAATGTCTCTATGATGGGCTGTGGTTCAATTATTTAAAGTAATTTTAGAAGCTGTTCGAACCATTTGAAAGTGCAGATTTCGGTGCATCGAATGCGTTATCAAAGTTCAAAACTACACTTTCCAACGGTGACCCTGAAGATGATCAAATTGTCCAAATTTCTTATAAACATAGGTCTCTTTGATGGGCTGTAGTTCATTTAGTTAAAGTTAATTTTAAAAGCGGTTTACAGTATTAGAAAATGCAGATTTCGGTGCATCGAATGCATTGTCAAAGATCAAAATTACACNAAGTTTACAATTACACTTTCCGCCGCTGCTAAAAATGTCCCTGAAGATGATACAATTTTCCGAATTTCATAGGTCTCTATGATGGGCTGTAGTTCAATTATTTAAAATTAATTTAAAAAGCGGTTTAAAGTATTAGAAAATGCAGATTTCGGTGCATCGAATGCATTTTCTAAAGTTCAAAATTATACATTCCAATAGTGTTGAAACTAACCCTGAATATGATCGGATTTTCTAAATTTCTTATTAACATGGGTCCCTCTGATATACCGTAGTTCAATTATTTAAAGTTAATCTTAAAAGTGGTCTGAACTGTTGGAAAGTGCAGATTACGGTGGATCGAATGCATCTTCAAAATTCACAATTACCATTTCCGAATGACCCTGAAAGTGATACAATTTTCCGAGATTCTTATAAAGATAGGTCTCTTTGGTGGGCTGTAGTTCAATTATTGAAAGTTAATTTTAAAAGCGGTTTCAACTATTGGAAAGTGTAGATTTCGATGCATCGAATGCATTTTCAAAATTCACAATTACCCTTTCCGACGGTGCTACAAATGACCCTGAAAGTGATACAATTTTCGGAATCTCTTACAAACATACGTCTCTTTCATTGGCTGTAGTTCAATTACTTAACGCTAATTTTAAAAGCAGTTTAAACTGTTCGAAAGTGCAGATTTCGGTGGATCGAATGCATTTTCAAAATTTACAATTACCCTTTCTCACGGTGCTACAAATAACCCTGAAGGTGATACAATTTTCCGAGCTTCTTATAAACATGGGTCTCTTTGATGGGCTGTAGTTCAATTATTGAAAGTTAATTTTAAAAGCGGCTGCAACTATTGGAAAGTACAGATCTCGATGCATCGAATGCATTATCAAAGTTCAAATTTACACTTTCCGACAGGGGCTAGATTACCCTGGAAATGATCGAATTTTCTAAATTTCGTATTAACATACGTATATATGTTGGGCTGTTGTTCAATTATTTAAATTCAATTTTAAAAGCAATTTGAACTATTGGAATGAGCAGATTTCGATGCATGGAACGCATTTTCAAAATTCACAATACCCTTTCTGACGGTGCCACAAATGACCCTGAAAGTGATACAATTTTTGAAGCTTTTTATAAGCACAGGTCTCTTTGATGGGCTGTAGTTCAATTATTGAAAGTTAATTTTTAAAACGGTTTAAACTATTTAAAAATGCATATTTCGATGCATCGAAAGCATTTTCAAAATTCACAATTACCCTTTTCGACGGTGCTACAAATGACCCTGAAAGTGATACAATTTTCGGAATTTCTTATAAACGTACGTCTCTTTTATGGGCTGTAGTTCAATTATTTAACGCTTATTTTGAAAGCGGTTTAAACTGTTTAAAAATGCATATTTCTATGCATGGAATGCATTTTCAAAGTTCACAATTACCCTTTCCGACGGTGCTACAAATGACCCTAAAATTCATGCAATTTTCCGAGCTTCTTATAAACATAGGCCGCTTTAATGAGATGTAGTTCAATTATTGAATGTTAATTTTAAAAGCGGTTTCAGCTATTGGAAAGTACAGATCTCGATGCATCGAATGAATTTTCAAAATTCACAATTACCCTTTCCGACGGTGCCACAAATAACCCTAAAAGTCATGCAATTTTCCGAGCTTCTTATAAAAATAGGCCGCTTTAATGGGATGTAGTTCAATTATTGAATGTTAATTTTAAAAGCGGTTTCAACTATTGGAAAGTGCAGATCTCGATGCATCGAATGCATTATCAAAGTTCACAATTACCCTTTCCGACGGTGCTACAAATGACCCTGAAAGTGATACAATTTTCCGAGCTTCTTATAAAGATAGGTCTCTTTGATGGGCTGTAGTTCAATTATTGAAAGTAAATTTTAAAAGCGGATGCAACTATTGGAAAGTGCAGATTTCATTGCATCGAATGAATTTTCAAAATTCACAATTACCCTTTCCGACGGTGCTACAAATGACCCTGAAAGTGATACAATTTTCCGAGCTTCTTATAAACATAGGCCGCTTTAATGGGATGTAGTTCAATTATTGAATGTTAATTTTAAAAGCGGTTTCAACTATTGGAAAGTACAGATCTCGATGCATCGAATGCATTATCAAAGTTCACAATTACCCTTTCCGACGGTGCTACAAGTGATCCTGAAGATGATACAATTTTTCAAGCTTCTTATAAGCGTAGGTCTCTTTGATGGGCTGTAATTCAATTATTGAAAGTAAATTTTAAAAGGGGATGCAAGTATTGGAAAGTGCAGATTTTATTGCATCGAATGAATTTTCAAAATTCACAATTACCCTTTCCGACGGTGCCACAAATAACCCTAAAAGTCATGCAATTTTCCGAGCTTCTTATAAAAATAGGCCGCTTTAATGGGATGTAGTTCAATTATTGAATGTTAATTTTAAAAGCGGTTTCAACTATTGGAAAGTGCAGATCTCGATGCATCGAATGCATTGTCAAAATTCACAATTACCCTTTTCGACGGTGCTACAAATGTCCCTGAAAGTGATCGAATTTTCTAAATTTTTTTATATATATATTTTTA